AGTGGGACAAGCAGGTGGCAGTTGTCAAGAGCAAGAGCTGGAACAACATCAAGACTAAGGAGGAATCACACAGGTCATCACATCGGGTAACTAAGAGGACATTGCTGACATTCTGTGTACAGTTTCTGTAGTGAAGGTGGTGCAGAATGGACATTTGCATACAAGCAAGATGAGGAAAAGAGGATTGTTAACAAGGAAGTAGAATCAGCAGTAGACTCCTTGCTTGAGAAGTTGGATAATAAAATCAGAAAGAAAAACAGGATAGTAAGCCAGTGGTGGTAGAGGCCAATGAAGGCAATCTTTTTTTCTACCTGCAGGTAAAGAAGGAGGAACTGAAGGAGAAGAGATGAAGGGGTAACGTTATTAGTAAGAGCAGCAGCATGTATTCACGGAGCACTTCTCAGGCCCTGGCCTCATGGCACCCACTTTGAAGGTGCCACTGGGATAAGGAAAGGGCAACATTGCAACTCTCCCTGCCCCTGCTGTCCCATGGCGATTCTGTAGGTGAGGACACTAAGCGTTGGTCCTATCAGTGATGAGAGTGATGGGATCAAGTAGACAGTTGAAAGATTTAGCCTTTTTCTCATGTATCAGGAAAATCATGTGAAATTAAAATTTGTTTAATTATCGTTGAAACAGAAGAAAATAGAGTATATAAATGTATTTGTGGGGGAAAGAGAGTTAAGAAATCATAAAGTTGACAGATAAAGGACACGTTAATAGAATGCTGATGTTATACCAATGAAACCCAAGGTGGAGGAAAAAAGATGGGTTGGTTGCCAAAGACATACAGAATGATGAAATTGGACCTTCCAAGGCTGGTGAACATCATGGGCAGTGATTTGTCAATCTACCCCAGTTTTAACCAAAGTGCTGTTTTAAAATACTGTCGTTGTCACATTTGTATTGTTAGGAAGCCATGAGTCACCAAAAATGAACAGGAGCACACTGTATAACCTTAACAAGATGACTGCTCTGATGATATGGAAGACCTCCAAAACCCTATTTAAAATCCAGAAAGAAATGTTCAAGCAGGAGCACGACAAAGTGCAGCATTTTAAAATTAGCCACAGTCAATCCAAATCAAAGTTACTAAATTCCACTAAAAGTCACTTCCAGCAACGATTCCTTTAAGAGTCAACTTATTTTTATTTTATTTATTTATTTATTTTGAGACGGAGTTTCGCTCTTGTTACCCAGGCTGGAGTGCAATGGCACGATCTCGGCTCACCGCAACCTCCACCTCCTGTGTTCAAGCAATTCTCCTGCCTCAGCCTCCTGAGTAACTGGGATTACAGGCGTGCACCACCTGCCCAGCTAATTTTTTGTATTTTTAGTAGAGACGGGGTTTCACCATGTTGACCAGGATGGTCTCAATCTCTTGACCTAGTGATCCACCTGCCTCAGCCTCCCAAAGTGCTGGGATTATAGGCGTGAGCCACCGTGCCCGGCCGAGTCAACTTATTTTTAAACCTACACAATGAATTTTAAATCAGAATGGCTATTGATTCCTCAGAGGAGTTGCCCAAGTAACTGACTTTATATTCAAATAAATCTAAGATTTACAAGGAAATGGATAGAAAAGACACTCTGGTTTTATTTCGATTTCCAGGTCAGACTTTGCATGTTAGTACTGACACACCCAAAACAGGCTTTCCTGTGGTGCTACACAGGCGGGAAGTCCCTTGGTTGCCTGTGTCGTTTGTGCATTTAGACCATGCATTATTAGTTAATTCCAAGCCATTCCATCTCTGCATTTTATCTTTCTGTGTCGATCTAGTTAGACCTTACCTGTGTTATCCTTATTAGACTACGATAAATTGTATTTGGGGTGTGGCTAGGTAATTGCCCATTCTTGTCATACTCAGGCACGTAGGTGTACACACATGCACAGAAGCCAAAAACTCTATTTTATTTCTCAATTTCTAGACAGAAGAACAAGAGGTATAAAGTCCTAAGGATTGTAAAGGTATGCTGCTTACCATCATCTTAGTGACCACGACAGGGAAGCTGTTTCTGTTCCTTGGAAGTTTTCTCTGACAAGCCAGAAAACAGCAATAAAGCCACCAGCCTTGGGATCAGGACTGCAACAATTGATGGAGATTTCTCTCGCACTAAGCCAAGAGATGATTTCAGCACCTCAGACAGTTCCCACCGAAGTAGCCGCAATCCCAAATGCGTGTTGGTGTGGAGTGTCAACAGACACACCACACGCAATAAAATGCAATGTGGCCTGGGCGCGGTGGCTCACATCTGAAATCCTAGCACTTTGGGAGGCCGAAGCGGGCGGATCACAAGGTCAGGAGATAGAGACCATCCTGGCTAGCATGATGAAACCCCACCTCTACTAAAAATAGAAAAAATTAGCAGGGCTTGTGGTGGCACGCTCCTGTAATCCCAGCTACTTGGGAGGCTGAGGCAGGAAAACCGTTTGAACCCGGGAGGCAGAGGTAGGTTGCAGTGAGCCTAGATATTGCTGCATATCTTCAGCTTTAAATTTGGGCAGCAAAATGATTACTCAAGTGTCTTCCGTCTTGGCAAGTATCTGTATCTAAAAAGCAGTTTTTGTACCTGGTGTCTTTTTTTTTTTTTTTTTTTTCAATATACCGTAAGCAAATTGAAGCTTTTGTTCCTGGAGGAAAAGTGGTTTGCTTTGTTGATATGTTCATCTATCTTTTAGTAAATTTGGGGGCATAATTTTTCCAATTCTGAGTAACTTTTCTAAGAAGAGTGCACAAAAGTTTTTGTTTGTTTGTTTGTTTAAGGATGCAGCGTTCTGCCTGTGTTGTGGGTTTAATTATTCATTTTAAACTTAAAGGACATATGTGCAATACATTTTACAGATATGTGCCAGATACATATGTACAGATATGGGCATGTGCATATATGTGTATATATATTCGGAGTGCACTATATAAACACACAATACATGCCCACCTGCACACATACATGCACACATTGTGTATTTTCCAGAAAAAAAAAAAAAAGCATGATGTTGGGACTTAGATCTAAGTTAGAGATGCTGCTTAGAGCCCCATCAAAAAAAAAAAAAAAAGAAAAAGACGTTATATCCTTGATTTCTCAGGGCACCTGCGTTTGTCTGAGATGCATTTCTAGACAAATGACACCATGAAAAAAGGACATGTATCTCCAAGTTAAGAGTTTTTTTAAAAGATGGAGATGATCTGAAATGAAATAGAGAGCTCTTCCCTTTCCTTTCTCCTAGCGACACCTAGAGCCTGTTGAGAAAAAAGCTGCACATTGTTCTCCCCACAATTCAACAACTTTAAGTCAGGTTTAAGGCAAAAAGTACATCTTTTCTGTTTGCGTTACAGCTTAACTGTCTTCCCCAAGACTCGGTACTTCACTCCTCCAGAACTCTTCACCCTCCTCCAATTAAACCATTCGTCAAAGACTTCTCATTCCTTAATCCAGATGACAAAAGAATCTGTCCATTTCCCTCAGGACTTGGCCCATCAACGTGAGGGACATGTCTTGGAGATCTCTCTGTTCAACCAGGGGACTCTGCTAATGATGCAGGAGAAAATCAGAAAACCTCATGCAAGATCTGATGCAGGGCTCTAGGAGGTGTGTACCTGTGTTTGCAAACCACATCTCTCACAAAGTTTTGTAATCTCCATTAAAGTTTCCACATCCTTCATTCATAAAATAAAAACTACCAGTAACAACAGCAAAACCTCACTGATTTCAAAATATCTGGCAATTAGGAATTTTCCCTGGGAAATCACTCAATGCCTCGTTCCACCCCCCCTCCCCCTTGCATACACAACTCTTGCCCTAAAGAAATACCAAACAGGGAAACAGTGTGGCTCCAGGCTGCACACAGGCGATGACCAAAACCTCCTGCTCGGTACGGGGCACTGGGTATATCAGGGTAGACTAATGAGAAGCCGGTGTGGGAACCCTGGGACGGCAGGGCCTTGCTTAAAAGGCGCAGGTGTGAAGCAGCCTGGTTGTGTGTGTCTAAGAGCTGTACCAGCCAAGCCAGACCTGCCTGTCGAGAGCCTGTCGGGGATTTTCCTCTTTTCCCTGGGAAGAGAGGCCTCAAAGAACAAGCACAATTTCCTTCCTTTGAAGTCCTAGCAGCCCTCTGCCTCCTAAAAGGGATCCACAGGAAGTGGTTAAACTCATCCATCTAAGGTCCCGCTCCTGCCCCGCATGAGTCATTGGTTACTAGGGCGATATGCAAATCCAACCTTTGAAACCCAGGCTTCCACCCCATGAAGAGTAGGAAATATGCTCTTGGAGAAGTTTTCAGCGAACAGGGCCTAAGGCAGAGGTGCTAGTCCAAGGCTGGGAGGGGAGACAGACACAGTCTGACGTCTCTCAGCAAAAGAGCTGGGCCCTGAGACAGAGGGTTGGGGTTCAGATGCCAGTACTTTGGTATTTTTTTCCCGGAAAGGATAATCACCACCAACAACGCTGGGGGTGGGGGGGCGGAAAGTGTCTGGGAGAAGTAAGAAGAGGAATGAGAGGCATTTGAGTCAAGGGACAGAATGGGGAGGCGAGGAGGGGCACGATGGAGATTCCAGACACAGGTGGGAGGGAGAGAAGGCGCCCGAGACTCTTCCCGGAGCACGAAAGAAATAAAAAATAAATAAACCAACTCGTAAGCCCAGGCCGATCGAATTCTCTTCTTAGGAGCCATAGCAGCATGCCATTAAAAAGACATCCGCGCATCCAGGGAACGCACAGCGAATTCCAGATCCCAGCAAGCGCAGCACCCAAAACCTGCTCCCTCCAGCCACCAATTCCCGGCCGCCGCGGCCACAGACACAGACCCGCTCCCTCCCGGACGGACAGTGGCGTTGACCGCGATCTGGCGCCACGGAGCGTGTCTGGGGTCGCCCGGGGAATCGTGGGGGAGGGGGGAGGGCGTCCGCTTCTACCCCCCAGATGCCCCTCGGCCAACGCGTCTCGCAGCCTCACGCTCGGCCGGGAGCCCCCGCCGCCGCCCCCCACCCCCGAGAAGCTCTTACGTCCTCCTCGTCACCATCGCTCCGCGCCTGGTACTGGAACCGGGGCCGGCTACCCGAGCCGCCGCCGCCGCCGCGCTCCCGGGGCGCCGCCGCCTGCGCCCGCGGGCCGAGGGGTTTGGCCCCCGTGCCGCCGTCCTCATCGGGCCCCTGGCCGCCCAGGAGGTGACTGGCCTCCGGAGGCGCGGGGAAGGACCGCGAGGTGTTGATCTTGCCGGTGAACCTCTGGTACAGCGAAGCCATCGGGCACCGCGCGCTCCTGCTGGCTGTCTTTGGGGCTTTTGAATATTTTGCTTTCTCTCTCTCTCGGGTTCCCGCTCCCACCCCGCTCCAGATTAAAAAAAAAAAAAAAGGCGGTGGGGAGGCAGCAGCAGCAGCAAGGCAAGCCCGGCGCCGGCGGCCGCTCCTCCCGCGCGCCACTCGCGAGTCTCCGCTGGCGACTCTGCTGGGCTCAGCTTCCTCCGCCCCCTCCTCGGCGGCTGGCGAAGCCGGGGTCTGACTGTGCTTTCTCTCGTTCCTGTTTTGATTCCCCCCCCCCAACTCCTTGCCAAGGCCACGTACGGCCTAATCAAAGAGATGGAAGGAAGGAAAAATCCAAAAACATAAAGCGAGGGAAATGCCTAGGCCCCAGAATTTGGCACCACCTAGAGACCGGCACACATTCCGAGCGCGCTCGCCGCTCCCCGCCCCCAGGCCCCGCGAGCGGCTCCTCCCCTACCCTGGCCCCTCTGCCCCCTCCCCACCGGCCTCCTCCCCGCGCCCGGGCCGGCGCCCGCCGGGACGACCAGCACTGGCAGCCCGAAGGGGGCGCGGGGGACGCAAAAAAGGGGACGGAGGCGGGGGTGCGTGAAGCGGGTGCAGGGGCGGGGACCGTGCGGGGGCGAGGGCTGGGGGGAGCCGGGGGAGCTCAGGGTGCCCGGGCCCTGCGGAAGGTCGTGCCCCAAAGCCAGCGAACGGACGGCGCGAGCGAACAGGGAGGTCGAGGAGGGGCAGGCCGCGGGGGCGACTGAAGGTGGGGCCGGCCCCGGGGCGCCGCAACCACGCGCGCTGCAGCGCCGGGCTCCCTCCGAGGACTCCCCGCGCCCCCAGCTCGTCCTGCCTAACTTGAAGCAACAACAGAGACCCCGAGGCCCTGGGGTGCGAATGGGGCGAGGGAGAGCCACGAGGAGGGCGCAAGGTGGTCGGGCGACGCTGGCGCGGAGGCCGCCCTCCCTCCAGAGCCCGGCTCCCTCCGAAACCGCCCAGTCCCTGCGCCCACCTGGGGAGGGCAGGAAAGGTCGCGGGGCGGTGGTGGAGGCCCAGAGGTCGGGGCGCCCCTCCCCGCAGCCAACCGGGCTGTGACAGCGACTGCTTTCTCATTAAGAACGCGGCCGGAGGCTCGGCTCTCGGGCAGCCCGCAACTTTTCCAAAGCCTGCGCCGAGAGCGAGGGAGGGCTACGTGGCTCCGCTCCCGTGGCGCTCGGGCTCCCCTCCCGCCCCGCCGCAGGAAGGCGCGCTGCAGCGCCCCAGTGTGGACACCCGCGCCAGCCGGCTCCGCGCCTCCGAGGCCCCAGGCCCGGCATCGCTTCTCTTCCCCTGCCGGCCTCCCGAGCCCTCTCCTGCTCCCACTGGCCCTCCTCGCCGGTCCTTCTGGAGTTGCTGGGCGCGCGTCCCTCTCGTCTCCGCCCCACGTCCTCCTAACGCGCCCTTTCCTGCTCCCGTTTGCCGCCCTTCCCCGCCGGGAGGGACCTGTCCCATCCAGAGCACGAACCTGGACCGGGAACCCCTAACTCCAGAGGGGGGACCCGTGAGACCCCACCCTTGCCCACTCCGCCGCCCCCTTCCACAACGAGGCAGGGCATTGGCTTCATCTCCCATGACTGCGTGGAGCTCCCTGCTCCTCCCGGGTTTCCACGTCTGTTTCCACTTAGGGTTTCAAAATAACAGACTAGGCCGCCAGGCACAAGGCCGACTGCAGGTTCGCCCCCAGCCAGTCCTGGCACCGCCCCAAGCCGAGGGAGTGGCCTGCCTGGGCCGGAAACTGCCTGCTCCTCCTGTTTCCCTACCTGCTGGGGAGAAACTGGTTACCAGGAACAAGTCTCCTGGGAAGAGACTTCCTTCAGTCCCTTCCACCTGCCTCACTTCCCCAAACTCTCAATCCGGGGTGTCATTTTTAGCTTTAACCAAAATTTGTACCAAGCTCTATTTACTCCACAGTAGTTTCTCTTTACTATGAAGAAACATCAGTTTAAAAAACACTCCTTTTTTAACAGCAAATACAAAACCAATTAAAACCAGGATTCCAACAGCTAAGCAAGACTTGCTGCATGGGAGAGGCCACCACCAAGCGGGGCTGGGGTGGGGAGAACTTCCCCTGCTCCATTTGACTGCAGACAGAGGCAGCAGAGCCATAAAACTAAACTTTAAAATTCACCACAATTAGATAGATAGAAAACCTTGCCCTCATCCTCCTCCTCTGCCCCAGCTGCGCTTTTGATGGGAGGAAGCTGTCTCTCCTAACATGGACATGAAAGAAAGCTCATGTTGTTCACTGAAGCATCGGGATTCTGACATTTAACTAAATATAAATGCAGTTAGGGTCCCACTTATGTAATATACACACACTATGTATGAAATATGCATACGTATTTTTACACAAACTAAAAGCATGTCGTACTAACAGTGTATACAAAATACAATTATTACACAGAATAGTTGATCGTATATGATACTGCATAGATGTGTGCATATTAATTATAGATGAATACTAATGTGGGATAAAGCATATGTGCCACTTTTAAAAATTACATTCCCAAGGTATTGTAGGTATTTATAATTTAGCCAAAGTTTAAAATCTCTAAGAAAATATGATAAGCGATTTCTACTTAAAATTATAAAATGAAATCACCTTAAAACTCATAAGCAACAGGGGAAAGAGTTGAGGAAAAATTTGTGCTGGGGGTGGAGCGCGGTGGCTCAAGCCTGTAATCCCAGCACTTTGGGAGGCTGAGGCGGGTGAATCACCAGGTCAAGAGATCAAGACCATTCTGGTCAACATGGTGAAACCCCGTCTCTACTAAAACTACAAAAAAAAAGTTAGCTGGGCATGGTGGTGCATGCCTGTAATCCCAGCTACTCAGGAGGCTGAGGCAGGAGAATTGCCTGAACCCAGGAGGCGGAGGTTGTGCTGAGCCGAGATCGCGCCATTGCACTCCAGCCTGGGTAACAAGAGCAAAACTCCATCTCAAAAAAAAAAGAAAAAAGAAAAAAAAAATTGTGCTAGGAAGCAATCTAACAATGAAGCAGGAGAGATGCAGGGCAGGGGAGGTGGGCAGGAAGGAGCGCGACTCTGAAAGATGCAGGTGTGAAAGGAGACAGGATGGATGCTGGAGAGGACTGAAAAAAACATGGATGAACACGAGGATGTTCCTTAAGGACGATCCAGATGGAGCGCCCGTTACCCAACTTGAAAAGTGCTTGGCTACACTCTCGCACCTTGCACACTGAATGCAATGCTCCTGGGGACATTTTAAAGAACGTTCTATACCTGGTGCGTGTGTGCATGCTTGTCTGTGCACTCACACATCCAAATTTGTCTTAAGCACTGATACACACATTGCAGTTGAGGGTGTGAGGACTCTGTGGTCCCATATATAAAAGAATAAAGCTGGCCAGGTGCAGTGGCTCAAGCCTGTAATCCCGGCACTTTAGAAGATCAAGGTGGGCAGATCACAAGGTCAAGAGTTCGAGACCAGCCTGGCCAATATGGTGAAACCCTGTCTCTACTGAAAATACGGAAATTAGCCAGGTGTGTTGGTACGTGCCTCTAGCCCCAGCTGCTCGGAACGCTGAAGCAGAAGAATCGCTTGAACATGTGAGGCGGAGGTTGCAGTGAGCAGAGATGTTGCCACTGCATTCCAGCCTGGCTGACAGAGCAAGAATTCGTTTAAAAAAAAAAAAAAAGTGGTATTTTAGAATGAGTAAAGTGATACAGTTTTAAAGACCGGCAAGCATGTTATGTTTACGATGTATGATTAATTCAGTCTTTGCCTCTAATCACCTTTTTGCCACCTCTCATACACACACACCCAAACAAGGAAAAATACCCTGAAGAGTAGCAAAAGCACCCAGTGGGCATTTCAAAGCAGGTGTAGTGTTTCAGAAGGAAACATGCCAATACTCCTTCTACTCAGTTCGTCCTTGAACATCTGAAACGCATTAGGGTGATGAAGCTGATTTTTATTCTTACTTATTAGTTACCTGTGAGAAAATATTTTTGAAACTGTTTTGCAAACTATTTCATGTCAAGAGTTTACTTCCTCCATACTGCTCAAAACCAAATGCCCCCAAGTCATCTTTCTATCTAGTTTCATATGATTATTTCTTCCCTATTAATTACAAAAGTGTGGGTGTGTGTTTATTTTCCTTAGAACCAATTTGCAAAACAAACATAAGTCATTGGGATTCGGCAGATGCTGCAAAATATGTTGGATTGTCATTTTTAAAATGACAATGAAGGCAAATTTTTGGTCTACCTGCAAGCTAAGCATAGTAGGAATACCAAAAGGACAGCCATTGAGTTTCACAGCCTAAGCATGATTTGTATTAAGTAGGAGATTCTCTTATTTCTGAGAGAATTATATCCTGTGGTTTACTTCCCTTTTCTCCGGGTGCTGAGGGAGAAGGACAGAACCATACCTAAGACAGTTTTTCTTTTCCAAACACCAACGTTTGAAGAAATGAAGTGGCTAACCTAGCACACTCTGAAGGAAGCTCTTCCCTAAACAGTGGGCACCCTGTCTTTTACATATTATCACCTTGAACTCATAAATTGGGAGACATTTTTTAAAAATCTGGGTAGCTTGAGAAAATACAGTGCTAGATGCATAAATAAAGGCATATTCTCCACTCTGAAAATCTGTTTCTCACTTTCTAGCTCTCAAAACATCTTTTGTTTCTTGTTTCTGTTTTTTGCAAGATAACTCTCCACTAGGGGCTGTATAGTAAGACCTTTTACACACTTTCAAACAGGAAATATCCAACACACACACACATATACACACACATACACACATATACACACACACATACACACACACACACAAATATACAGACATACACACATATACACACATACACACAAACACACACACATACACACACACACATACACATACAATAATTGCTATTTCAGGCTCTCGAAAAACAGAGTTAAAGTATGAATTGCATCAACTTGTAGATTTTCAACTTATTTCTTAAAAATTCATATATTTTAAGTAAAATAATTTGTGTTGTTTATTTATTATACTTTAAGTTCTGGGGTTCATGTGCAGATCACGCAGGTTTGTTACTTAGGTATACAGTGACATGGTGCTGGTCTGCTGCATCCGTTGCCCCGTCATCTACATTAAATATTTCTCCTAATGCTATCCCTCCCCAATCCTCCCACCCCCTGCTAATCCTCCCCTAGGCCCCCACCCCCAAGGCTCCGGTGTGTGATGTTCCCCTCCCTGTGCCTATGTGTTCCCATTGTTCAACACACACTTGTGAGTGAGAACACGTGGTGTTTGGTTTTCTGTTCTTGTGTCAGTTTGCTGAGAATGATGGTTTCCAGTTTGACAGTGTGGCGATTCCTCAAGGATCTAGAAATAGGAATACCATTTGACCCAGTAATTCCATTACTGGGTATATACCCAAAGGATTATAAATCATTCTATTATAAAGACGCATGCACATGTATGTTTATTGTGGCACTGTTCACAAAAGCAAAGACTTGTAA